ATGAAGAGATTTTTCTAAAATTGAATCGACTCGACTCTGATTCAAAATTTCTCAATTGAAATGATTCAACTCAACTCATGACTCAAGCATGACAAAAATATATGATTCGATTCGACTCATGACTCAAACATGAAAAACATGATTTGACTCATGACTCAACATGACAACAAATGTATGATTCGATTCAAATTATGACTCAACCATATTTTCAGTCAGACATGTGCATGGATCCGGGAAAATGGATCTGAGATCTGATCCCATGGATTTGGATCGGGATCCACTCAGATCATAGATCCGACTCCTCCATTTTGTCAGAGATCCAATGAGATCATAGATCCGCATGAAAAGTCAAACATGATGACGTTGACAGCTTCACCCCTGTCAAGGTGACTAGATAAAATATTCAATACCAACTGTTCCAGGGACTTCGTTGCAAATATAAATTGAGTGTTGACTGTTGACGTGAATATATAATATGTCAACACTAGAAATAGGGCAATGTGAATTGTGATGAAGTTACAACAAATGAACATGCACTAAAAATAACTTTTACAATATCACCAGTTAGTAGTTCCATCACAATCCACCTGAGAAAACCATGATGCCTACCCAGTGATGACTATTGACCACTGACCAGATATAAAAATAAAACATAATAAAACATGTGGAAGTGAGGGATAGAATGTGTTTCTGTGATTATTTCGTACAGTACGCACTCACTCACTGTCACTGCAACATAAACTCAACACAAACTGTTAACGTGACAATTGATGGCCTTGAACGAGACTTCAATTTCCAAGGATTCCATGACAAATCTTCGTATGGCATTTCTTCGTCGCGCGATTATTCGTCCGTATTTCTTCCCCCGAAAAGCTTCGTCACGCATCATTTCCTCCCCCCCCCCCCCTCCGTAAATCTTCGTCCGCAAGTTTACGATGAAATGCACCGACGAAAAAATGTGAACACCAAGAAAAGAGGATATGAAGAAATGCGCGGACGAAGTTTTGTGGACGAAGAAATGCCATACGAAAATGTGTCGGGATACCTACTAGCAAACCAAAGAAAGTGTTGTCCATTATTTTACCAAAAGCAAAAACATCTTACGTCACTAGCCCAAAATACAGAATGCAGGTGAACAATGCTAGAGTGAAATTGAGAGTCATCATCTGAGATCTGAGATCATGCAAATATTAATGACGTAATAAATAAAATCATTGTTAAAAAAGTCTGCTAAGACCTAAAATTTGTCATTGTTATTTGCAAAGGAGGTTGAAATGAAAGTTGAAGTTGAAGTGCTCGGATTGAGACTAGTTAGGTACTGTTATTTTCAATATTGATTACGCTTAATTTATTAGAGTAATGTACCTACTAAAGATGGCATATGTAGCCTTTGTTGTAATGTATAGGTATGTAGTCCAAACTGGGACTCTGGACTTATATTTGTCGCAGTGAGATGATACTTACAATTTACTAGGAAATTCGTCCTGTTTTCCAATCATATTTGCTTTCCAGACACATATCCTGTTAATCTGTTCAACTCATGTTGATAAACAGTGTAAGCTGTCGTGACATAGTGATCATTTATTAGAAGTTTAAGTAGGTAGGTACATACCTACCTGATTGCTGCGTGCTCTTAGTTAATTTGTTTTGTAGTTACCAATTTCAGTTAAAGGGACTATCCCACCTTCGAAAAAATCCCGTTTAGGATTCGGAAATGTTACTTAGGGCATTGTGACGAATTCTGCAAGTTTTTACGCGTTTTCATTGTATACTTTTTGAAATATTGCGACTTTTATATTTCATCGTGACGTCATTTAGATCGGATCTGTGACGTAATGAAGGATTTACTTGATGCCAATGAAGGGGGAAATTTGGCAGCAAATATATTTGCTTTCAAATATGACGCGGCTCATACAATAACAAAAGTGTCTCTGATTGAGCATTTTGTAGTTGGTGGTATGATAGTCAATGTAAGTATGTTTGACTTCCTGCATGTAAAATTCAAATACTAACATCACAATTCACATAGGAAAGGAACATATTTTCACCATAACTTTTAAAAAATTTGTGTCAATTTGGAATACAATTGAAGTGAACAAGTGTGAAATTTGAATGAAAATAACCAACATTCCTGACCTAACCTTACCTACTTTGACTTTCCTAAAAAGTTTGTAATACCCTTAATACCAACCTAAAACCCCCATGCCAGATGTCTACAACATACAAACCTTTCAACCAGCCTACTACAGTAACACCTCACAACCTATTCCATTCTGAACCTATTGATTGGGATTTTTGTATACCTACTTTTACTCATTGCATCCTAGCTTGCTATTATAGCAAACATGCAGGTATTTAAAGAAATGTTTTGTTTTTCCTTCTTAGCTGTTGAAATTTCTTGAATGCCAACACAACACAACACACCATGCGCACGACAGAGGTCTCCGTCACTGCGGAAGGAAGATCGCAATGCTGCTTGGAGGCTGTTGACAGAAAGTGATCAGTAAGTTATGACCCTATGCATAATGCTACAATTATTATTATTTTTTTTTTTTGTATACAGGGAGTTGGTCAGAGATTGAACATGTATCAGCATCATATATTTGAATGCTGATAATTATGTATACGAGCATTGACCAATCAATTGAAACTAGAAAAGTAGATAAGTGCTTAACAAAATGGATTGGTGAAGATTAGATTGCCTATATATAGCGTGCAATGTTGACTGCATAACATACTGCATAAAATGTAGTCTGTTCCATATTATGTTTGCGCCTATGGTCAAAGCTGCTTCTTCAATTTGCTTCTTCGTTCAATGTAGGGATGTAGCCAAGGGGGTGGCCACGGGTGTCATGGTCTCCCCCAAAGGCGAGAAATTAAATAAAATAAAATAAAGATAAATAAAAACAGCTGTACCATACCCCCAAAAAATAGTGGGCCAAATCCGAGTTTTCTTTTTTTGGAGGGGGTACGACACTAGGCCGCGACCTGTGGCCCCTCCCTCAGTAAAATCTTGGCTATGGCTCAATAATTTGAGTCTATGCTTTATGTCTATGACTATTCTATACAGGAGCTATGCAATCCTGTTTTCTTTCTAGGTTCATGCTGTTCTGAGGTGAAACATTTTCCTGGCATGGTGGCACTTTGTCAGTGTGGGGTGAGGTAGGCATCCACTGTGATGTGGCTGACCCTGTCGGCTCCCACTCCCCCTCTGACCCGGCCATGCGTCCCGCCAGGTTGTCGTGTTCCGCCAGCTGCTGCGCCGGGGTTGGCAGCGCACAGCCGCTACCAGCTGACACGCCGACCGGTGCGCGGCGCGCGTGCGCCGGGCGCCGACGGCCGCCGTCTGGCAGCAACAGCGCTGCCAGTGACTCGCGCTGCTGCTGCAGAAACTGGACAAGGATCGTAGAATCCTGGCGTGTTTTTGTAACGTCCATTAGAGTGATTTAGACGCAGCGTGTAGAAAGGACTCGTTTATTGACGTGTGACTTTCTGACAGCTCAGTCACCTGTTGACGGCGGCGCACAGCGTCACCTACCCGCCCTACAGCCGGCCCCAGCAGGGTGAGTAGTGAGTACCAATACCCGCCCTGCAGCCGGCCCCAGCAGGGTGAGTAGTGTGTACTGAGTAGCGCTCAGAGTTAGCTTGAAGTTGTTTGATGCACTGTTCTTCATGAGTCGTCCCCATCGCTGCTTGTGACTTGCAAGTTCCTTCTTTTTCGGCAGTGCGTCCCAGTTATATCAGCGATTTTCACCTCTGAGAAGTGTAGTTGCCGTACTAGTGAAAAAGCGTGTATCTTTGAAATAAACATTCCGTTTCATCTGCCCACTACCACTAACGCCCCTCTGCCCTCTCCTGCAGCGGACGGGGAGACCCACCTGACCGCTCCTTCCCCCTGTTTTGCTGCAGGCGGGGAGGCCCGCCCTGACCTTCTCCTCTACCCTCTGCCCTCTCCCGCAGCGGACGGAGAGGCCCGCCCGGGCCCAGTGCCGCACGGAGAGGCGGCGGCGCTGGAGGCCAACACCCCGGGTCGCGGCCTGTAGCTGACGGTGCTGGAGCCGCGACTGCTCTACAAATGCCACGTCCACACACGATGCACGGTCAGTCATTATACCGAGTAATACTAATTATAACCGCGGGTGTTTTGTTAGAATGGCCCTGAGAGTGTGCCTTTGTTGTGTGATTATTGTTGAGTGCGTTTTCTAGTTGTGAAGTACACTGTGGTAGGCTCGACATAACTACTCATTAGAAGTGGCGGGAACACTGCTCCAATGCCCTATTGTCGATTGGAAATGAATAACTACGGCCGCGGCTCCTGACTGTATCCCTTTTCCCCGTGCGCCCTACAGGTGACGGCTGACCAGGCGGTGCTGGTCTCGGCCGCGGCCGACGGCCGTCAGACGGCTGGTCGCCTCGCTCTCCTCAGCCTGGGTCTACTGGAAGGCCCTGCTGGCGCCGGCCCTGTGGGCCGGCTCCCAGCACCCGCTCACAGCAGGTGTGCCACTACTGCGAGCTGAGCGTGCGCCAGGGCGGCCGCCTGCTTCGGCTGCACCGGAGCCTGCTGGCGCCCGGCCGGGGGACCGCCGGCGCCGAGCCAGCCGGCTCGCAGCTGGACCTGCCACTAGAGACGGACCTGTGGGACCTGGACGTGCGGCTGTGTCAGACCGGCTGGTGCTGGGCCGGCGCCGCCCGGTGCGCTGTCAGCTGGACGGCCGGCCCGTGCTGGCCGCGCCCCAGGCGGCCGACGCGCCGGCTCCCGGCGGCGAGCGGGCGGTACGGGCGCTGCTGCAGCTGCCGACAGCTGCCGCCGCCGCGGACAGCTGCCCGCTGCTGGTGGTCGTCTCCGAGCCGGCCCTGCTCTGCTGGCAGCCGGCACTGCTGCTCTGGCTGTCCCTGGCCACTCAGCTGGCCAGCAGCTGAGTGGCCCGGCGCCGCCGCCACTGCCCCAGCCGCCCGAGCCGCCACCGCCGCCGCCGCCGCCGACTCGGGCCATCGGTACTGCCTGCACGGACAGCTGGTCTCTGTGCTGCCGTCAGTCCGACTGGACAGCGCTGCGCTCAAATCGGCCGCCCTGCCGACAGTGTCGGAGGTGCCCGTCCGACTCACCAGACCTTCAGCGGCCGCAGGTCAGTCGCGGCCGCCGCACGGCCAGCTCATACCGGCCGCTGAGGAGGGCTTTTCCATAAAACTCTCAGTGCTAGTGATTTTGGCATTGGCATGGGGGCGGGTATTAGTACGCACTACTCACCCTGCTGGAGCCGGCTGAAGGGCGGGTAGGTCACGTTGTGCGCCGCCGTCATCAGGTGACTGAGCCGGTGTGCCGATCCAGGACCTCAATTATGATTATAAGTAAAACGGGATGTAGGGATGAAGTCAGCTTGTGCTCAAGACTGACGTCATGAAAATCGACACGTGAATATAGCGGGCATGTTTGCTCCCTGCCCTGCTGCCGTGCGGGCGTTCGAATCTCTCCCAGTTTGTCGGCCCGTGTGTCTGTCTGTCCCGTCCCCCGCGTGTCTCTCCGCCGGGTGACGCCGCTCTGTCTGTTCCAGCCGGCTCCCAGCTGCGCTCGCCGAGCCAGACGCAGCAGGTGATGTCGCCGTCGGTCGTGGTGCGCGACTGTGCGCCCATCCCGCGTCCAACGCCTCCCCCCCCCTCCACAACGCGCGCTGTAGCGCCTGCCGAGCGCCGGCTGCTGCCGGGCCCGCCGTCGTACTTTTATGGCCTTGCGCCGTCAGTCGCCAGCTGGTGGTGGCGACCCGTGATCGCTCGCGTACGTTCGCCGGCGCGCCCATTGCAGAGAAGGGGTTCGCGCATGCCCATTATAGAGGGGCGCCCTTGCGGAGGCGGTACGCGCTACGCTGTAGACACTACTGCTTGTACCTGGTTGGGTAGCTCCTTTGCACATTGTTTGTTCATGGATGTAAATACAAGTTACATGACTGATGAGTGTAATGCTTACATTTTTGAACTAAGAAATGCCACAGGGCAGGTTAACTCGGTGAGTTTCTGATATCAACATACTGAACATAAGAGCAGAATAATTATCCATAGAGCGTTAAGGATTTTAGTCACCGAATTCACCTGTCAGTAATTGCATATGGTGGCACCATGAGCATGAGTACCTTGCCTTGTCCGATCCTTTTCACAACAAGCAAGTAGAATCTGGGAAAAGCAGTGCTCTAAAATTGGATATTGGTTGGGTGTGCCGATGAAGAAAAAAAATCCTAGGATGAGAAAAACAGAAAGAAAATAACTGCAGTATTTTTGTAAAATGGTGTAATGCCAATTTTTATGCTAACTGATAAACCAGGATTTCATGTCAGGATTAGAGTTGCAAAATTTCCCTACCGCACTACCGGCATGCCGGTAATTTTTCACTGCCGCAGGTTTTTTCGTGGTAGCTGGCATGTGTTGCCGGTAGCATGCCGGTATTTCAACATGGCCGAATCTGTAGTTTTTTATATTGTGATTTGTGACTATCTATAGTTCATTATTTGGTTGGTACCTGTAACATTTTAGGAGAATGTGGAAAATAAGAACGGTTGTGGTAAATGTGATTGCTGCTCACTGTGCAGTCTTCAGAAACACATTTCTGTGCCTAATTCAAGTTCTTTTTGTCCTTGCTTTTTTGATGAATGTGTTAATGCTTTTTTGTAGGCAATACCTCTTTGATTACAGGTGATATTTTAACAGCTGTAGACTGGAATTGAGTTTCAAAATTGTGGTATTTGTGGGGCCAACAGCCAAAATCAGGCTGCTGGTAGTTTTGGTTGGACAATGGGTGGCTGCTGGGTGGGGCGGTTACTGAAATTGCCAAAATGTGGCATCTCATGTAGGGGTAAGCCAGAATCAAGAATGCAGGTTTTTAGTATGCCGGTAATTTGGCGGTTTTTTTGGTTGGGGCGTGGTAGCATGCCGGTATCCCAGAAAATTTTTGTGGGGCGGGGCGGTGCCGGTAGCAGCCCATTGGCAAAACTTTGCAACTCTAGTCAGGATCTTGACAGGGTGTAGAACAAAAGGATGTGGGTGCATCAACTGTCAAGTGACAAGTGAGCTGGCTGTTGGGAATACATGAAACTCTTTTCAGAGATCAAGTAAAGTCGGTCATTCATATTTTAGGGATAAAAATATTTCCCCATTAGGTGTGATTTGCCACCAAAAAGGCTGAAAAATGAAACACTGGGGAAAAGGCAGGGAACTTACAAAGCATGCGCATATGTAGATAACTGATGATTGTCTCTCTTCAAGCATGATCTGAGTCTGCAGCCTGTTCTGTTCCACATGAGTTACCGGGACAGCATCACACATGAATTTCTGCGTGCTTTAAACAGAAATGCCTTCATTTCCTTAAAATATATTCATTTTTCACACAAAGACAACAAAAATGTACATGTAGGTGGGTGCTGTGGCAAGAAATTACATACAAATGTATTTTGCCATGTAGGTACCCTTCTTTCACAGCACAATCATCAATCATAATTAAGAGCACCAAGACGTTCTTTGCGACTTGCGAGCCCAGCCGTGTCAGACCAGCTGATGCAGGGGCTCTGTCACAGGGGGCACAAGGCCCAGTGGTTATGTCACAGCACAATGTTGTATAACCTGCTATTCAAGAACACTTAAATCTTGAAAAACCTGTAGCTCTCTTTTGTCGCCTCACTTTTCGCACTCTTGACAAATCAGTCGGATCAAGACTGAAACTTGAAGAGGATAAGCTCTTTTGTGGGATGTACTTGCAGTTTCAATTCAATGACATAAATTACTCGAAATTACCATTGAAATTGTACTGTACCATGACGAATCTACCATTGAAAGAAAATTGTATCATATTCATGACCCTGCTATGAAAACTGAAACAAGCTCCAATTGCATATGATAAATTTGGCGATGTTTATAAATCTTGCTGCCTTAAACAAGCAAATCTTCAATTTGCTTCCATTTCAGGAAATGGAAACAAATTGAAAAAAATAAAACAAACGGTAAATTTATCCAAACCCAAGTCCAAACCCAAGATAATCAATCAATTACTAATTATCGCCGAGGCCGCCGCTGGGTGCCGCCGGGGCGCCGAGTCAGCCAACGCCAGCTTATTCGTAAATCAAGTGATACTCTACTCGAATGCGTAAGAGGCGTTCAAAGGGCAAATGACGTCATCAGAATGCCGTTAATGGTTAAGAGATTGGGCCTTGTACAAGGCCCATTTTCAAATGAAGGGAACGAATTTCTTCAACACCACGAGGCCGCGGGGGTTGCAACCTAGATAGATAGTGGTTTCTGAACCTCGCCGCAAACTTGGCTATCTCAACTCAAATTTAATGTAAAGGTGGGATAGTCCCTTTAAACGATTTGATTCAACTCCTCATTTCAGGGATTTATAAAATAAATTGAATCAACTCATGACTTGACCCAAACACATTTTTAGTTTAATTGATTCAAGGCATGACTCAAAGGTACTGAGGTTGTTTAATAATTTGCGGAATGAATTGTCTTATGATTCAAATATCAAGCATCTTTACCTAAAGTTTACTAATCACATGTAAATCACTTCGACTCATGACTGATTCAGGCCTCAGCGGGAAAGCGAATTGATTCAACATATGACTCAAGTTTCATTGAGTTGATTCAACCTTTGACTAAAACTGCTTATGCATATGTGAATCGAATCGACTCATGACTCATTCTGATCTCAAAGTTTTTGATTCGATTCAACTCATGACTCGAAGAAACTCGACTGATTCTTGAGTCGATTCATGATTCAACTCTGGGTCATATACAACCCTGCTTCAGAGGGCGGCACTGTGCTTCAGAGGGCGGCACTGTGCTTCAGAGGGCGGCACTATGTCTTCAGAGGGCGGCACTATGACTTCAGAGGGCGGCACTATGACTTCAGAGGGTGGCACTATGACTTCAGAGAGCGGCGCTATGACTTCAGAGGGCGGCGCAATGACTTCAAGGAGCTTCACGAAGACTGCGGAGGGCGGCACTATGACTTCAGAGGGCGGCACTACGAGTACAGAGGGCGGCACTACGACTTCCGAGGGCGAAATTTCGACTTCCGAGAGCGGCACTACTACTTCAAAGGGTAGCAATATGACTTAAAGTAGCGGTACTTCGAATTAAGGAGCGGCACTCTGACTTCAGGAAGAGAAGCGACATACTCTGAGGGTTAAATATAAATTCAGATAGTTACTATCAGAGATTATTATGAAATGAACTTCAAAGAAATGGCCATTTCCGTAAAATGCACTTCATCACGTATCGAAAAAAGCCGCCCACCGCCGCCTTCGGCGGCGGAGGGGCGGCATTTTTCGATAGGCTAGGGGCATCGGACCCAGCGGCCCCCTGGATCCGCCCCTGGTGTGTGTGTGTGTAGGGGGAGGGGGTTCGGGGCCGGAATAGGGGGTTGCGGGTAGAAAGGGGAGACTGAGGGAGGAGCGGAGCTTGACGAGGTAAGGCACTCAGATTTGAGATAGGTTGGTTAGAGAATTCCACAAAATATTGAAAAATTATCGATCATGTCTGAGTATTAGTGTCGGAGGTGGGAGGGAAGCACCCAGTACTTACTGTTTAAGCTACCTACCAAGAGCGTGCCTTAACCTTCCAGGCAGTGGGGGGGGGCATTTTTTTGCCCCCCCTTTAGTTTTTTCAATATATCTCGAGAACCGCTGCGTCGATCGTCACCAAACTTTCAGTACCCTCCCGGGAGCAGCTAGAGCACATGGTGACCAAAATTTTTTTCAAAGGCTATGATAGGTTGGCCGCTAATGACGTCAGAGTGACGTCATTTTTGCCATTTTCGACCCAAAAAAAGGTTTCGCGGGAAGAGCTGTCAGGCCTACAGCTTTAGAGATACAGAAAAATGTTTCGACATAAAAGGTGTGAAATCAAAAGGGCTACAAAACTGCTATTTCGGTTTTTCAATTTTTTTTTATTTTGACCCCCAAAAATCAAAAAAAGATTTTTTGATTATAATAGCCAAAAAATCCAAAAAGTTTTTTGAATTTCGAAAAAAACCGGAATATATGTGATAGTCCCTACCACCTTCTATCTACATACCAAATTTGAGATCGATACCTCTTTTTTTGGCCAAGTTATAGCGAAAAAACTGTTCAAAATTGATGACGTCAAATTTTCCAACTCAATTTTTCCAAGCAATTCTAGACCTCGTAGCGCAAAACAAAGACCACCATTAGACTCCCCGTGACGAGCGGCATCGAATCGATACCCATTTTATGCAAAAATATCAACTTTGAAATTTGACCTTTTTTGACCTGACCTTGACCTGACCTCCACCAGAAAGTGACTTAAACCGTACCTGATGGTCTTATAACCAACACCATTGAGTTGGAAATGAAAAACTGGCCATAAAACATGCATCGCATAACGTTAGTAAAGTTGGGCTCATGTGGTGACCCTTGGTGACCTTTGGTGACCTGACCTGTGACCTGACCTGGTATGACCAGTGACCTCTAATAGCAACATATGTACTAGACAACTGACGCCTTATCGCTGATTTTCGACAAAATGCGTTTTACTCGGTGTTATAGCGCTTTCCCTAGAAGCCCCGTGAACGGTGAAACATTTTATCTTTGACCTCACCTGTGACGTCATCGGTGACCCCGAGGTCAATGAAATTTGGTTTCCCTCAACAAATTTGACAGGGCTATCGAACACCGTTTGAATTTTCCGGATCCGTCCAGTAGTTTCGGAGATACGGGGGGGGGCAAAAAAATGCCCCCCCCCCACCGCGCGGAAGGTGGCTGGTAGGCCCACCGCCTGCCGGGTTAATATATAGCTTCAGTAAATGGGACTTAAAAACTGCGGATACATAATTTAAATGTAACGGGTGGTCAGTATGAAACTGGACAAAATTTGATTAAGCATAGCATCTCCAATTATGGACAGATTTTAATTATTTTTGGTAGGTGAATACTTCCAGTTATTTT